GTGAGCTTCGCTTCAGTGAGGTAGCGCGATTGCATGGGCATGCACCCTCTAGGACTTTATGGCGTAATTGACACGGCTGATGGGTCCGCCCATTTTACAAGTGATGTGCAGCCATATTCATGTATGATGCGTAGGACATCCTATATGCTTGACAATGTAGTTAACGCGGCCACGCCAATGTCCCCCATTCCCGCGGAGGCGTCCGCTCTATCTCACAACGCATTGGTACACTGATATGTTTCATCCATATTTTATGTCTCTCGTCAACCTACACCCATCACATGACTTGACAGCGCGCATCACGGCTATAAAAGAACATTTTTACAGCTCGCGCCTCATCACGAGGTTCTAACGCATCGTTTGCCTCGGGTGAGATGGTTGGTCCTCTTGAATACTACTTTCACGCACGCATGCATTTGTAATAACCAGCCAACGTACTTTCAGAGAAACATTCTATCTCTTGTCGACCGCTGCATATATTGACGCGGAAATGGCTTTTTTTTGGAACTCTTGAGAATTTTGCCTGGTGCAGGATTGCCGAATGTGAGCACAGCCTGCCTGATTCGACAAACTGACAACTATCCTGTATATTACGCGCATCATAGGCTTGCTGGTGTAATTTCTCCGGACACTTTGGTGGCCTCTGCGCCTCGACGCTGCAGTCCACTGTTTATTACATCAGCCCCTTTTTTTATTTCATTAGCTTCCTCCGCCGTAATATCCATGCCCCGACATGCTCACTCTCTCGGCGAAGCCAACCACCTGAGCTGTCTCGCATCCGCTTCGTCCGCCATCTGTTCCTCACGATTCACCGAGTCAGGGCGGGAGAGCATAGAACATACGCGCTCTCTTTATATCGCTGTAGTACACTCCCATATACATGCCCTGCAAGACGCTACGCACAAGCCACACGCAAAGTCACTCGCGAGGCGGTGGCGCCCTATGCGCTGCCTCGGCCGCAGTCCTAGTACACTCCACATCGGCCGCGCGAAACAAGAGCTCTGCGCACGACTCCCACACGGCAACCACACGCACGGAAGTTCAAGGCAAGGCCGGTACGCTATACGGCACACATGGGCCGTTCATTGCGTGGAAGCGAGCTGCAGCGTGCACGGCTCTCACACCACCGCCGAGCATGCACGGCACGGGAGTCGGGTGCATTTTATTACGCCTCGCCCGCACCGCCTCCTTCTTCGGAGCGGTGCGCTCATCCTCCCACCTTGTTCTCGGCTCACCGCCGCTAAGGACGACGATGATGGTCATCGTGCGCAGCAGCCATGGTTTCCGCCGGTGTGCGCGTATGTGCGCACGAAATCGCTGCGATGTAACTCTATTCCGCGGTGGGTGGGGCTGATGCTCGCGTCTTTCGCGAAAGATGACGTGCCCGCGTCCTCCCCGACACCGGCGGCGCACATCACAGGTAGGTGCGGGTACGCCGGGAGGAGGCGTAGAGGAACTAAGGTATGAAATAAGAATAGATGCATGCAATAGATGCAGAGGGGGGCAAAACGTAATGAAGATGCCACAAAGAGGCATAGGCTGCTGTACAGGGGGCTGAAATTGGGAGAGAACGAGAATGAGCTTGATGTTGTTTTCAGATGACGAAAATAAGGGGAGAGAGAGTGTTAAGAGAAGGAGCCCCGTGGCCTCATAAAACCTGGCTGCAGAAAGCCATGTATAGCTAACACAGGCACTATAGGTAGTTGCATCTCTCCCGCATCGCATACCCGTGCGGAGGAGGGGAAGAGAATGATGCACTGCAAATTGTGCTTCTACGCGCTACACCGACGCTCTCGAGAGATTGAAACAAAAAGAGAACAATAGCGTGTATGCACCCACCACTGCACGGCGCAGTGCACGCGCCGCAAGGTGTACGATCTCCTCGTCGAGTTCTCGGGACGGCCCGACTATACATAACCTGGCCGCTCGATGAAGACGTTAAAGTCGGGTAACACCTCCGCCATAATTCATGGGGAAAAGCGCGGTCGCGCGCGTGAGAGGGAGAGGAGGTCGACCCCTTTCGCTCACATCGCGCTCCTATTGTTCCGCTAAGCCGGCTGGCTTCGTTTTGTCTCTTCTTCACCTGGCACCCTGCCTCCGTGTACTTACATACAGCGCAACTCGAGCAAAGCACAAAAAAAAAATAGTCACGCCTGGGCGCCCCGTACGCACAACTCCCTTTCTCACCGCGTAAGCTACACGTGCTTTCCATGCTCTTCAGAGAGAGAAGAAAACTCGCCCTAAGAAAGATTGAACGCCGACAAAGTACCATGAGCGGCGCAAAACCACGTCGCCTTCATGAAGGAAGAAAGGTAAGTGCAACGTTAGACGTGCTAGCGGCCCAAGAGCTAGGAAGCAGGAAAGGAGGTGCTGGAGGAGAGGGTACAGGGGGATTGGCCGCGCACGATCGCCTTTCTCCCCTCCGCCTCTTCCTCGACGGCACCGAAAACCTGCCGCGCGCAAAAGCTTGCCCCTGAGCTCCGTCGATCCACACCCCTCGCCGGTCCGCCGCGGCGGCGTTACAGATGCCCCCGAGAAGCCCATAAATATCCGCGATAAGGCCATCCGTCGCTTCATGGGGGCGGTGGCGAAAACCGCCCACTTTCGCGGCGGCGGCCGCCAGACTTCGCTCGGCTCGGCTCCGTTGTTTTTCCCGACGGCGCAACAGCAGCGCCACAGGCATCCCGGCACATTAACGAGAGAGCATACATCCATGAGGGCAGAAAGAAGAGGAGGGGGGAAGTGCTTGCGGCGCGCACACATCCATCCATGTATATATACAGTGCACGCGCACACTCCCCCTCCCGAAACTGATAGCGTATATCTAGCCAGTGGGTCGCCCCGGCCGTCTAGGGTTCCGATCATTCTTGGCGCGTCTTAATCTATCGTCGTCCTCTTCGTCTTTCCTCAAAGCCGCCCCCCAGCTCCTCAGTGCTCGGGCTTGTTATTAATACAGTTGTTTATTGCCGCCTCCTCGCCTCTTGCGCTCGTCCGCTCCGTCTCCTTCCCTCTTTGAGAATTTTTACAGCTCCTTCATCTGGTCGAGACGACCCTGCCTGGACAAGAGCATGATCACGCCCAGGGGGCGTTTATTCCGCAGCTGCATAGCGATGTGCGGCAGTTATGTTTTCGTCGATATCTTTTATCTTTCGTAGTTTGTTTATTTGGCATCTGAAGCACTACTCATAATATGCCCCTCTCATCCGTCTAGTTGTTTTTTTTTTCCTTGCGCAACATTATACGTGGTCCTCAATGGGGGACCATCGATGTCGCGAACACGCCAGCCGATCCACTTAACGCCATCGCAACACGCGCGTCAGACGAAACGCGCTGGCGCTGGGTTGTTGTGTAATAAGAAGACGCATTCTATGCGCCGAAAAAAAAAAATGTGCGCGAACGCACGTGCTTTCACCAAAACGAGCGTAAAAGGGCTTGAAAATATGAAAACGAAAAAAAAAATGAAAAGCAGCGGATTGCACTATTTCCTGTTTTTTTTCTGAGCCTGTGCAGAACAAGTTTTTTCTCCGTCCCTATCGGCTCTGTGGGTTGTTTTTTGTAGCGTAAGCTACACTGCCCGAGGTTTACCAGTTTCCCGTGGCTTACGGTGAGCACTTCTGCGCATGCGCCAGGAGCAGTGACGTCACAGGGCACACAGCTGGCGCGCTGGCGGAGGCCAGGAAGCTGCTAGAGTGACGTACCACTAGTTCACAGGCAGGCGCTTGACTCGAGGGAGATCGCTCGCTGGCTATAGTGCGTCCGTGGTTGGTCCATCCATCCGCCCGTAGTTCACGCTATACGTATATTCTGGCATAGCCGAGCTGAGCCACTGCTAACGTTTTTGCGCACAAGCATCAATTCCATAGCGACACTTCGATGACGTGATCGATGCTCATATATTCTGAGACCAGAAGCAAGCGTGACTTTTCTCGAGTCCTAGTGCCCGTTTCATTGAATTTTAATCTAATCGCATTTGCTTTGTTCTGCCTCGTGCTAAGGCCCCTCGATAGCGCTGTTCATCGTGGATCTCTAGCTTCTTTTTGATATTGCGCAAATGCTCGGCATACACATTAGGCTTTTCACATTCCAGTACCGTCAGTTTCTGCAGCAACAACTTAAGCTCTCTCACTTTTTTTCTTCCATTCGAAGACAAGGGCACTTGATCGCTCAATCACTATCATTTTGATCCACTGTTTGAAAAGGTCCCACTCTTCTATTTTCTCCACATGAGCTTCCTCAATTACTTTGATTTCGTTCATCACAGCTGGCTACGTTGAAAGACTCGTCACTTACAAGATTGGAGTTTAATTTCCACTTATCCTAGGATAATCTATTGTATTCTTTTTTCGCATCTATCTGGCACACTACTAGGTAATGATCAGAAAAGGCAATCGGAACAACGTTACAACAACAACATTGTGCAAATATGTCAACTTATATCGACAGTCGGTCTAATCAGGCATTGCTTGCACCTTGGAAGAGGGTAAACTTAACTGCCCGGTAACTTTCATGGCGTTCTGCAACATCCACTAACCCATAGTCTCCAATCACTTGCGTCAGCACATCACTGCTTTTGTCTTTGAACTTGCGACGGCTCGATCTATCTCTTTCTTTCAATACACATTAAATCCCCGATCAATATGGTCTTCTTCTCATTGCACATGTACTGTCATACATGATCAAAACATTTTTGGCGTTCCTGCAACGTAGCTGGAGCATAGACACCAAGCACTCGCCATTCAGGGTCACAATAAACAATGTGGCGCATTACTAATCGGCCTGACGGACAAGCCAATACATTCTGTACTTCCAAACCAGGCAATTTTCCAACAAAAAGAACGCATCCCCCTGATCTACCTACCGCACGGCTTACAATGACAAAATACCGCGCCGTGAACTTTCGCATCATGCTCTCTGTACCCTCCTCACCCTCTACTTTTGTCTCCTGCACTGCCAATATATCCGAGTTTTCCTCCAACAACAACCGATACACTTGGCCTTAT